ATATCTATTAAATATATATTAAGTAATTAATAATATCTATAAGTTGACATGGTTGCTTTTCTGTGAGTAATCTTGTAGTAACTCATACAATTAATTTACTAATCATAATTATCCTTGATTTACTACTAATAATATGTAATAAAGAAATCAATGGAAACAAAGCACCGTGTCCTTGTGTCCTCCGAGCTCCTATGACCCCACTGTCCCCACCATCCCATGCCCGTGGGTTGGGTGGTGACCGTGACACCGACTCACCCCAAGCTGGTTGCGTGGAGGAAGGCGTTATCAGATCCTCCTCTTTTGTTGACTTTGCCCAATCAAGCGAACATTTGAGTTCCTGGGAGATGTTCCTGCCTTATCTGTTTGTCACTGCTGGCTCTGCAGGGACAGCAGATGTGGCCTTGGTGAGAAGGTCCACGAGTGTCTGTGGAGCACTATACAGGGGGCTATATATGCCCTCAGGGGCTGAGGCTCGTCTGCGTCTGCTCACCATGAAGATCCTCCTGGTCTTCTCCACCCTCGTGGCAGCCACCTGTAGTGAGGAGCTTTTTGTGGGGTGAGTCCTGATGAAAATGGGGGGGGTGGTGGGGCACCCTGGGTGGGGATGGGGACCAAGGGGGGCGATACCCAGCTCAGTCCATCCTCCTCTGGGGTCAATGAGAAGGGAGACAACCCAAAGGAGAGAAATCCATCAGCTTTTGCTGCATGGACACCAGGAAAGATGAGGTTTCACCCTGGCTTTGGAGAGAGGTTTTGAGCACCCTCCTGACCACCACAGTGGGTAGAATTTAGGGGATGCTAAATCCTGAAGGCATCATCCTGAGCTTTTCCAGGGAAAGGACTGAACTGAGATGGAGAACCTTGCTGCTGGGGTAGGAGATGGTTTCCTTCTCGGCTGAGAGCTGTCCCTGTCCCTGGGGGAGCCCAGCCAGGCTGGAGCAGAGGCCATGGCAGGAAATGTTTAATTTATGGATACAGACAGAACGTATTTAGATATTCCAAAATATTTCCCAACATTGTGGGAGCTCTCATGATCAAAGGAAGGATGGAGACCACCATGGGCTCTCCAGCACTTGCTCTTTTCCCATCATGGCTGTTTTCAACCTGCATCTTCCACTCTCAACACCAAACCTCCACCAACTGATGCACTTTCCAACCCATGGAGTTGGTGTAGACCTTTCACAGCCTCCATCCAGCCCATGATGGGACCATGTCAGCGCTGGAGGCTCAGCTCCTTCCCTCCTCCCATGATCCATCCCACGTGTACTGATGGCTCTGCCTCCCTGCAGGGACCAGGTCCTCCGCATCACGGCCAGCGATGAGGAGCAGATCACCCTGCTCAAGGTGCTGGGTGAGCAGGAGGAGCTGCAGGTGAGTTGTGATGGGACCCCCAGCATCCCCTTGTGTCAAACAGAGACCCTGGTGACAACCAGAGCTCCTTCCTTTTGACCCCAGATCCAAGTTTCCTTCCCATTTTGGATCTGGATAATTTATAGCCGTATAAATCCAATATTCACCTCAGGGCACCTTGAGCTCTTCCTGTTTCAGAAGAAGTGGGAACACCTCGGTGGTGAGGAACAGAGTCATCATGGCAAAGCTGAAGGGGCTCCAGGAAGGCTGGGGAGGGACTTTGGCCAAGGGCAGGGAGTGACAGGACGAGGGGTGATGGCTTGAAAGTGGCAGAGGGGAGATGGAGCTGAGATGTGAGGAAGAAATTGTTTGGTGTGAGGGTGGTGAGCCAGTGTCCCAGGTTGGCCAGAGAAGCTGTGGCTGCTCCTCCCTGGAAGTGTTGAAGGCCAGGCTGGATGAGGCTTTGAGCAACCTGGTCTAGTGGAAGGTGTCCCTGCTGCTGGCAGGGGGGTTGGAACTGGATGAGCTTTAAGGTCCCTCCCATCCAAACCAGTCTGTGATTCACCAGAGAGGTTCACCTCTACTGACTTAAAGAGCAAAACCAGTGTGCAGTGACCCTGGTGTCTCCTGTGTCTGCTCAAACCACACGTACTCATCATGCAAAGGGATGTTTGCAGCCAACAAGCAACTTGGGCTGAATCACGTTTCTGCAGAAGATCACTGAGTGAGGCAGAGGGACCCTGACCCATCCTGGTACCCAGGCCTGTCCCAAAACTTGTCCAAAGACCTTTTTGGATACTTCATGGGAAAATGTTATGAGACCTTTTTTGGTGCTGGGGAACCTCAACATATGGGGCTGAGCTCTCTGTCATCCACACCAGGTTGACTTTTGGCGTCACCCCACCAGCCCCAGCCACCCAGTTGACCTCTGGGTGTCCTTCTCCAGCCTCCAACCAGTTAAAACCTTCCTGGAGTCCAACAGCATTTCCTACAGCATCATGATCAAGGATGTGCAGGTAAGGGCTGTGGTGGGGAGTGGGATGAGCTTCTGCAGTTCAGTCCCAAGAGAAGGTCCAAGAAGTTGGAAACCATGAGGGCATGGAAGAAAAAACCCAACCCCCGGCTCTTTCAACCCTGTTTGATGGGGTTTTGGGGGGATTTTTTTCTCTCCTAAACAGGCATTATTGGATGAGGAGAAGAAAACCATGACCAAGTCCAGGAGGACAGAGAGAAGCACCAGCACATTTGATTTTGCCTCCTACCACACGATAGACGAGGTACTTTGCTCCACAGAGCAGCTGCTTCATCTTACTGGTGGGGTCACATTCAGACTATGCCATGGTTGCATCCATATGGTGATGTTTGTGGTGGCACTGAGACCTCCTAGGACACGTTTCTCCTCCTTGGGCGGAGGTTTTAGCTGAGCCAGGAGACTGAGCATCCCTCCATGTGCAGCGTGGTCTCTCCTGGCACCTCCCCACCTTGCTGGAAGACATCTTCACCTTCATTTTGGGGGTCAAACCCTGTGCTTGGAGACCAGTGGGTGGCTGATGGAGGCTGTTGAGGAGGATGATGTTGGGGAATCTCAGAGATGTTTTTTTTCTCTCATTTTGCTTTTGCAAAAGCCTTTGTGATGTGCACTTCCCTGCTTGCACAGAGGTCCAAGCACCTGGTCTTCTCCAGGGAAGCACCTGGTCTTCTCCGGGGAAGCTCTGCATGTTGTATCTGGCCCTGGATACCCTAAAAACCAAAAGGAAAGCCAGGATGAGCCTCATGACCCAGCAGCTCCTCCTTTCAGATCTACGACTGGATGGACACGTTGGTGGACGATCATCCCAACCTTGTGAGCAAGATCCAGATTGGGCAGAGCTTTGAGAACAGATCTCTGTACGTGCTGAAGGTGGGTACCAGGGTCACCATCGCCTTGTCCAGCCCCAGGAGGACACGAGGCTGAATTCTCTCCTCTCCATACAGTTCAGCACAGGGGGATCGAATCGCTCAGCCATCTGGTTGGACACCGGCATCCACGCACGGGAATGGGTCACTCAGGCCGTCGGTGTCTGGACAGCCAACAAGGTAACCACGTGCCCTGGGACATGGGACCCCAAGTCTTCCTTGCAGCATCGCTTGGTTGTCTCCAAGGGTCACTGAAGCAGCTCCTGCTCCCTTCCCCATGCAGATCGCCAAGGAGTATGGTCAGGACCCTTCTGTCACTGCCATCCTGGACAGCATGGACATCTTCTTGGAGATCATCACCAACCCTGATGGCTTTGCCTTTACCCATAGCTCTGTGAGTGTGGGGACACTGCGGTGGGAATCTTGTCCCGGCAGTTGGCTGTGGCTGGCCTTGATTTTTGGGTGGGGAAGGATGTCCCTTCCCATGTGGGACCACGAGTGGTTGGAGTGGTTTCCTCTCATTCCCATAGATGCTTGGGCAGGAGGGCATCATCTGCCCACCCCCCAAGGTGGGAGGATTCACATCCCTGTGATGGTCTCATCTCCATCTGCTCCTAGAACCGCCTGTGGCGCAAGACAAGGTCCATCAACGCCGGCTCCCACTGCGTCGGTGTGGACCCCAACCGAAACTGGGATGCAGGCTTTGGAGGTGAGAGCTGGGCCACTAGGTCCCCACACTGGGCATCTCTTGTTCCTCAAAGCATTGAAGAGTGGAGAAACCTGGGGGGCTGGAAACCCTTCCCCTGGGGCAGCCTCTCTGCATGGTGCCTCCTCTGCCGTTCCCCAGGCTCTGGCTCCAGCAGCAACCCCTGCTCTGAGACCTACCGTGGCCCTTATGGCCACTCTGAGAGAGAAGTGAAAGCCATCGTGGACTTCATCAGTGACCATGGGAATGTGAAATCGGTCATCTCCATCCACAGCTACTCCCAGATGTTGCTTTTCCCCTATGGCTACAAGAGAACACCTGCACCCCACTACCAGGAACTGGTGAGTTGGCCCCAAAAGGTAGACATGGGGCTGTAAGCACCAGCTTTGGTGGAACAGTCAGGTTGGATCATCCTGGAAACCCTCCTGCTCCTCTTGTTGGATGCAACTTGCACATTGAAGCCCATCATTTGGTTCTTGGAGGGCGATTGCAAGATGTATCTCCCATCCATCAAAAATTAAAGGTGTTTTTGGGGAAAAGTGTGAGCAGAGGGGGTGGGGAACCAATGCTGGGCTCTAGATCCTGCTGCCCTGGCATTTCTTCTGCCCCAAGCTCTTGGACCACCAGGTCTCACCACTTTTGAGCTCTTCCTTGCAGAATGAACTGGCTAAAAAGGCAGTGAGGGACTTGGCCGCCGTCTACGGGACGAAATACACCTACGGCAGCATTGTGGACACCATCTGTAAGTGTCTCCTCCCCTTCCTGTGGTGTTGTGTCCACCACAAATGTTCAGCGTTGGGATCCCATCTCCTCTCCCTGCAGACGTAGCAGATGGCACCACCATTGACTGGGCCTACGACAACGGGGTGAAATATTCCTTCACCTTCGAACTGAGGGACACGGGACGCTACGGCTTCCTCCTGCCCAGCACCCAGATCATTCCCACAGCTACTGAGACTTGGCCAGCGCTGTTGGACATCATGATCCATGTTCTGGAACATCCATACTGAGCCTGGTGCTTCCCATGGTGTCCCCTCATCTCAATAAATAACCCTGGAGACTCTTTATGGTTTGAGTCTGGCACCTTTAGTTCTTCATGCTAGGCTTCAAAAATAATGGTGACAAGGATTCCCACCACCTCGTGGTTTTGACCCTACAAGTCCCCATCCTTTGAGGCCAACAGCCCTGAAGGACCTGGGAGAGAATGGGTGGGTTTTTTTGGTCAACCCAACCCAAATCTGTGGGGTTTTGGTTGGTATTATCCCTTCCTTGAGGGTTGTGAGGAGGGACACAGGGCACCCTCAAGGACATCTCTGGGTGCAAAGCACTTTCAGGCATTTGCTGGTTTATTTTTGTCACCTGGGATGACCATCACCTGCTCTGACCTCTGTCCCACGCCAAACTTGAAACCAATTCCCTCACCACCAACAGAGACATGGTTTAGGTCCCCATCTTATGTGAAAATCTTCATCTCGCACCTTCTCGACCCAATTTTGCCCTTTTCCTCCCCACAGTTCTGAGCTGCAGCTGGTGCTCTGGGTGGTGGGATTTTCGGCACCTCCCTACCTCATGTCCTCCTGGAGGGTGACTCATGAACCAGCCCTGGCCAGTTCCTGGGACAGTGGGGTGATGGTGGCCAACCTTGGCCGGTGCCAGCCGGAGCCTTCCCATGGCCCTGGGAAAGGGGACAGCTGTGGGGGACAGGTTGGAGGCCACCATCTCGATGGGATTTAAGAAGCCCTGGGGTGCTGTTGGGACACAGGACGGGCTCTTTCGGTTGATGATGAAGGTCCTCGTACTGCTGGCTGCCCTGGTGGCAGCAGTCGCTGCCACCGAGACTTTTGTTGGGTAGGGGGTCTGG